CTATGGCACTTTAGAATGGGTCATCCTTCCTATGTGAAACTTCAGTACATTAATAAAGGTTTACAGATTTCGAATATTTCTCATCGCAAAATTTGTCATTTGGCTAAACAACGTAAATTGTCTTTTGTTTCTCACAATAAATTATTTACTCGTCCATTTGATTTAATCTACATTGATATTTGGGGTCCTTTTTCTACACCTACTATTGAGGGATACAAATATTTTCTTACCATTGTTGATGATTGCACTCGCACTACTTGGGTGTATCTTCTTCGTTAAAAGTCGGATGTTCTTACCATTTTTCTTGATTTTTATACTCTCATCCTTACCCAATATCAAATTTCTATTAAATCTGTGAGATCTGACAATGCGCATGAGTTGAGTTTTCATTCATTTTTCAAGTCAAAAGGCATTGTTTCTTATCATTCCTGTGTTGAGACTCCTCAACAAAACTTAGTTGTCGAGTGCAAATATCAACACATTTTAAATGTGGCACGTGCTTTACTATTTCAGTCCCATGTCCCTATTGTCTATTGGGACGATTGCGTCTTGATCGCTGTTTATCTGATCAACCGTACACCTTCCCCCTTGTTATCTAACAAAACTCCTTTTGAACTATTAACTCACAAAAAATCATTTTATGATTATTTGCGTACCTTTGGTTGTCTATGCTATTGTTCCACTTTTGATAGTCATCGCCATAAATTTTCACCTCGTTCTAGAGCTTTTGTCTTCCTCGGTTACTCTTTGGGTTACAAAGGATATAAACTTCTCGACATCGAGAGCAATCAAATCATCATCTCTCAAAACGTCATTTTTCATGAACATATCTTTCCATTTCTTTCATCCCACTCACCTAGTCCCATTCACAATGACCTTTTTTCATGAACGTGTCTTACCTCTTCCTCTCCATACACCTACACACTCTCTAGTTTCTTTTGATTCACCTTCCCACTCACCGCATGACTCTTCCCAAACCCCACCACATCGACCTTTGTGTGTCACACGACCACCTTCTTATTTGTCTGACTATCACTGCTATCATACAAATACACAGGCACGTTACCCCATTTCCTATTTCCTTACTTATACAAAGCTTACACCTCAATATCACAATTTTATTTTTGTTCTTTCCTCCCACACTAAGCCTACCACCTTCTCTGAGGCTGTCTAGTCTGATGTTTGGAGGACTGCTATTTTGTGGAGCTACGTGCCTTAGAAAACAATAATACTTGGTTTGTTGTATCTCTTCCACCTGGGAAGAAATTTGTTGATTGTAAGTGGGTTTATAAAGTTAAATATCAAGTCGATGGGACCGTAGAGAGACATAAAGCCCGTCTGGTTGTTAAGGGCTACACAAAACAATTTGGCATTGATTTCATTGACACTTTCTCTCCAGTTGCAAAATTGGTTACTATAAAAATTTTGCTTTCACTGGCTGCTATTCATGGTTGGAGTCTGACTCAGTTAGACATCACCAATGCTTTCCTTCATGGCGACCTTCATGAAGAAGTTTATATGAATATGCCTCCAAGATATTCTCCTCGAGAGGGGGAGATTTTTCCACATCAACCTGTTTGTCAGCTACACAAGTCAATCTATGGGTTGAGACAGGCTTCCCGACAGTGGTTTCACAAGTTCTCATAAGTATTACTTCAAGAAGGTTTCCATCAGTCACAATGTGACCACTCATTGTTTGTCAAGCATCAGGGTAATGTTTTTCTAGTATTGTTGGTATATGTTGATGATATTGTTATTACTGGTAATGATAATCATGCCGTCGAAGAACTCAAAGTTGCACTCATACAAAAATTTAAGATAAAAGATTTGGGAACTCTCTGATATTTTCTTGAACTTGAAATTATAAGAAATGACACAGGAATCACCTTATGTCAGAGAAAATATATTTTGGATCTGTTAACTGAAACTGAGTACCTTGGTTGTAAGCCCTCATCTACTCCCATGGAACCCAATCTTAAGATATCCAAAGATGATAGAGAACCTCTATGTGATATCACTAGTTATCGGCGACTGATTGGAAAATTATTGTATTTGACCATCACTCGTCCTGTTATATGCTATTCTGTCAATAGACTGAGTCAGTTCTTAGCTACTCCTAGGACCAGTCACCTTCAGGCTGCTTTGTGGATTCTTCAGTACATCAAAAGAACACTTGGACAGGGTCTCTTCCTTCCATCATCATCTACCATTCAAATTAAGATTTTTTCTGATGCTGATTGGGGCACATGTCCTGATACTAAAAGATATCTGACTGGTTATTGTGTTTTTCTTGGATCTTCATTAGTCTCATGGAAATCAAAGAAACAACAAGTTGTGTCTCGGTCATCTGCAGAAGCCGAGTATCGTTCCATGGCCAATACTACATGTGAAATAGTGTGGATTCTGAATTTGTTACGAGATTTAAAGGTGCAACATTAAGGTCCTGCATTACTTTACTGTGATAATCAGACAGCTCTACGCATTGCTTCAAATTCAGTGTATCATGAGAGAACAAAACATATTGAACTTGACTGTCATTTTATCTGAGAAAGAATTCAAGATGGTACCTTGAAGACACTGCATATATCCACTTACAATCAACTTGCATATTTAACGACAAAAGCACTTCATCCTACGCAGTTCGAGAATTTGTTGAACAAGATGGGTACAATAAATTTGTACTCTCCATCTTGAGGGAGAGTATTAAGATTAATTATTGATTAGTTGAAATGAGTTAGTTGAAATTAGTTTGTTAATTATAACTGTTTTTGTCTTTTTCTTTTTGCCATTGTACAAGCTGTATATAGTTTTTGTTGTCCATAATAAAATCAGAAAATCTTCTTCTCCTCTGTTCCTAACAGTTCTCGAGAACATTAATTGATTTTTTACTTAAATATTATAATTTGCTAAATACATAGATAAAATACTTCCACAATCTTCAAAATTGTGTCATCAAATCAAGATTTTTCTGTTACCGAATCTGATCTCTAATATACTTTATGATTTTAAAAAGACTGGATATTAATGTTCTTAGCTGCTCTTCTCATTCTCAAAGCAAATTTAGATGTGAGAAAAAATATGTCGTATATAAATATAATATTTTACAAACAATGTAATAATATCAATCTGTATTTATAAGTGTTGAGTATATTAGATTTAATAATATTTTATTATTATTTAATAATATTTTAAATATTATTTTTTATTATTAAATTCTAACAACCAAATTGATCGACTTATAATAATTAATAGTTAGTAATAATAATAATAATTAATGATAGTTAATTTAATTTTACACTTAGTTCCTCACTTTTACATCAATTTTCAAAATGGTCCTTGACATTTAGAATTTTAAAATTAAACACTCAACTTTTGTTTTGTTTTCGATATAAGCCCTTTTGTGAAAAATAACACTTGCTCTCAAATTCTTTCGTAATTTGCTAACTGTTCCTTCTATATACATACATACATATATATATATATATGTGTATTTATGAAAAAGTTTCCGCCTTAATTCTTCAGAAGCGAGCAAGCAAAACGGCGCCGCTCACGGGCGTTTTGGGTGTTGAACCCGTTTCAACCTTCTTCTTCACTCTCCCCTTTCAGTTTGCTTTTTCCCCACTGTTCTTGTTTTCAACATCCATATTTTTCTCATCTTCATAGTCCATTAATCTTACGTGATAGAAATTGGATGTAGAATGGATTCATCATTAGTATTCTCGCTAAAGCTAAAACCCCACCACCATTCTTTCTCTTTCTGTTCTTGCAAACCATACCAACTATCGTTTCTCTCATCCCCTTCTCTCCATTCCCACTCTTCTCGCCCACGTTTCACTTCCTCAAAACATGCTGTTGCTAAAAAATTACCCAAAAGAATTCGCTGCGAGTTCGACGGAAAAGTTAATGGCGCTTTCTTTTCTGATTCGGACTCCCGCCTACTCGACCGGGTAAGGTTTAAGTTTATAATGTTGTCTTTGTATATGTTTTCCCATACTTTGATTTATATGCTCTCCGGGGGGAGTTGCCCATGGCCTGTTTGATGTTTGGTTTGAGACGTAACCCTCTTTTCCTTTGAGTTCATATCATGATGGCTTTTCTTTGGTTTCTAGATGTACCATTTTAATGTTATCTGAAACTGAAATTGGAGTGGTTTCATTTGCATTTCTTTTGGATTGCATTGTAATGAATGAGATATTTGAAACTGAAATTCTCAAGAGTGAATTATTTGGTTGGATGAGGATTCCAGGACTTGTAAGCTGAAGGAATTTAGCACGTACCCATTTTGTGAGCTGTTCCCAAGTACTGAGTTTCGATAGGCGTCTTGAAGAATTTTATAAGCAGGGAGACCTGCCATTTTACATCTTTTATTTCCTGGTGAATGTTGTCGGTAGCTTGAATACCCATATGCATTTTCAGGTCAGGAAGTTAGTGGGAAAAGGTGCTTGGAAGTTCCTGCTAAACGAGGCCTGCCGCAAGTCTTGTACTTCAGCTATTTTGATGCCTTGGCCCTCCATCTTTGTGCTACCTTTGGAGGAAAAATTTCCCATTATTCTCATAACAGTTTATGTTTTAGGGTTAGAGGGGGGGGAGTAAGTGTAGTTGGTGTGAGGAAGGTGGCTGTAATTAGGGAGTCAGGACAATGTAGTTTTACACTGTAACAGAATCTAGATATTCACGGGGACTGAGTCATTTTCATTCCAGTTATTCCATGAGGAAAAATTAGTGGTAGATATATTTTTATTGTAAAGAATTTATCTCAAAAAAATTTTATTGTAACGAATCAGGTTGATTGGTAGAACTAGAAGAAGTGTTTTTCTGGTGATTTGTTCATTTAAAGGGCTGGTGAACTTGCAACTGGTGTTGTATTTACTAAACTGTTGACTTGAATACTATTTCTGCATCATTTAGAACTACTGATCAATGACCAAGAAGCAGGGCATGAATGACAGATATAGGTCCTAGGCATGTTAACCTTAAACTATTTTGCAGATGAGTTTAAGGCTACAAAGGTTAAGGAATGCACTGATGAGCATTCCAGAAAGCATGCTTAATCATAGAATGAGAAATATAAGCTGCTGTTGCGGTGCTTCGCCTTTGAAAATCTTTGAATTGGAAAAAAAAAATAAGAAATGAAGAGAATACAGAGAGAGATGATGAAATCTCCTTTGATAATTTTTATCATGATACCGTCATGTATAATATTATGATTATTCTTCTGTGTAATGTTATATTTTCTTTTGACCAAGGTTTATTCCGTGTATCAGACAGCCGGTTTATTTGTTATCCAGACATTCATCTAGGTTATGTGGTTAAAAATTTATATATTTGACTTTTTCCACATTTATCTAACCTGGTTCAGCAAAAAGCATTGGAGGCAGCAATGAACGACATAAATAATTCATTTGGAAAAGGAAGTGTTACAAGACTGGGCAGTGCTGGTGGAGCTCTAGTGTATGTTTTCTCTTGTCACAGTGTCTTTTTCATTTTAAATCTTTATCCTTGTTGCAAGGAATGTATTGTGCAAAGCACAAAAGAGTTTTAATTTACATATTGCATTCCTTGCCTATGAATATTAATTCAATTAGTCATATAACCATGTCAAAACACTTGAAAGAAATACTCAATATGATGCTTGTACCCAATGAATACTCAATATGAGCTTACCAGTAGCTATTATAGATGAAATAATTTGACATTAATATTTACGATAATGTTATACAAAGTATTACATGATCGTATGAGGAAGTATATGAATATGTAGTACTAGTAATCTTTTTTTTTTTTTATTGTGGTAAGGGCATATCTCTAATCCTTGTTTCCCCTTTCATCCTCTCCATTTTTCAGCATTTTAATTGACCAATGATATGTTTGAAATTTTTAATGATATGTTCGCATTTTTCTTTCAAGAAACAAAATTTGATTACCTAGGTAACCTTTGTTTCTCAGTATGGTGTAACCAAGCTTATATGGAGCATCTTTCCTTGTAAGACTAGATTCAACTCTAAACTTGTTTCTGTGCCATTTTGTTTGTTTGCAGTGAAACTTTTCCAAGTGGCTGCTTGACACTAGATTTTGCCTTAGGTGGTGGCCTTCCCAAGGGAAGAATTGTAGAGGTAGTATCTTTAT